GACGGGAAGACCCTGCTCTTCCACATGGCGGAAGAATATACTATGCACGGGCCTATCAACGTGCTGGCGGAGCAAGGTGGACTGCTCCGGCGCCTTGATGGTCACTCTACGCCGAGGTTTGGCCATGATGGCTAATGAATCACTAGCTAACTGGCCATCCCGGTCGCGATGAAAGTCCAAACCAAGGGAAGCCGCTGCCGTATCCGCTGCCTTGTATTGAAAGGCTTGAACCCCATGGAGCTCATGATCATGCACGAACTCCAAGTGTGAATCCAAGCCATTCATGACGTCACAAGCTAAACCGAGGACTAGACGATCATGAAGAGCCTCCAAACTGAGAAATCCTCGTCCTCCACACTGTCGCGGAAAATACAACCGCAGATTCGAAGAACGTGGATGGAGACTCCTATGAATGTTCATCAGCCTGCGGATATCTCTGTCCAGCTGCTCCAGCTCAAATCCACTCCATTTGAGAACACCAAATGAGTAAAGAAGCACCGGGACAGCGAACCTGTTCGTTGCTGCGACTTTATTCTTGCCGGAAAGTTCGGACTTTCAAACTTTCCTGAGCCGCCGCCGATATTCCTCGCGAAGAGTCTCTTTGACTTCCACAGTTTCCACTACGGAACGCTGATTGAAGCTAAGATATCGATACAACTCTTCGGCGCCAAGATGATGTATTGCGCTTCCACCCACAAGCTGAAGATCATCCACCTCGCCACCAAACTTGCCCCTCTTCATATGGAAGACGGCGCACTTGTCCAATCCGAAACTCATGCCGACCGCAAGAGAATTCATTGCGACAGTATCAAGCTGAAGCTTGAGTTGCCGCTCTCCTGAGGCAAATAACTTCAGGTCATCCATGTAAAACACATGAATGACCTGATGCCTCCTATCACCCGGTTTTTCGGCTTGGTACCCTCCAACACAACGCAGCGCAACAGATAGCGGCATTAGTGAGATGCAAAATAATAGAGGACTCAGAGTATCACCCTGAAAGACTCCTCTCCTATACTGCACCAACCTCGAAGTCAGCTTACCCTCACCAGATGTTATGGTGAAGCGCGTTCTCCAAAGTGGTGCAAGATCTTTTATACACCTCACTATGTGGTCCTCTACCGCAAGGCAATCCAATAGTAGGAAAATGAGTTCATGACTCGTTATCGAATGCCCTGCGATAGTCGACCCAGGCAACTGACAAATTGCGATGGTACTGCCTCGAATTGCGCAATACGCAGCGATCGACAAACAGATCTTCCTTGCAACCTGACAGTCCCCGGTTCACTCCTCACTGTTCATGTATCTGCTGCCACACTGGTTGTATATCATGGAGGATACGCTCATTCAGGATACCGGTGAAGAGCTAATGAAGTGTATTCAAACACGTGATCAGCCGATAGTTCGCCGGATTGGACAAGTCTCCCTTCTTAGGGAGCAACACAGTCCTCCCCTCTACCAACCACTCAGGAATAAGCTCACTACCATCGAGAAATGCCGTGAATATCCGGGCCAGATGGTCATGAACAGAGGTAAACCTCTTTCACCAAAAGGCGTTAATGCCATCAGGACCCGCAGCGGCGTGGTTCTTCATAACTCGTAAAGTAGATCGAACCTCTTCCTGAGTGATTCCCGAGAATTCCGCGGGCTGCCGACGAAGTACACAACAAAACGCGCGAAACTCCTTGAGGGCTGGAGTCTCCACCATGAGATTGGGGGCCTGACCGTAGAGACCCCCCCAGAACTCTTCAACCCGCTCGACTGAAGGCATCTTATCCGGTGCAGGCGCGGGTGGATCGAACCAGCGATTGGGGTCGGAGTGGGAGACAGAATTGTCGACCACCCGTCGCAACCGCTTCTCTAGAGACCGTTTCGTAGTCCCCAGAACGCGTACCTTCTCAACAAATCTCTCCTTAATCATGAGGAAGACTTGTTTATTCAGTGTGTGATGGTGGTATCGCAAATTCGCAGATATTCTGCGAATTCCCNTCATATGGAAGACGGCGCACTTGTCCAATCCGAAACTCATGCCGACCGCAAGAGAATTCATTGCGACAGTATCAAGCTGAAGCTTGAGTTGCCGCTCTCCTGAGGCAAATAACTTCAGGTCATCCATGTAAAACACATGAATGACCTGATGCCTCCTATCACCCGGTTTTTCGGCTTGGTACCCTCCAACACAACGCAGCGCAACAGATAGCGGCATTAGTGAGATGCAAAATAATAGAGGACTCAGAGTATCACCCTGAAAGACTCCTCTCCTATACTGCACCAACCTCGAAGTCAGCTTACCCTCACCAGATGTTATGGTGAAGCGCGTTCTCCAAAGTGGTGCAAGATCTTTTATACACCTCACTATGTGGTCCTCTACCGCAAGGCAATCCAATAGTAGGAAAATGAGTTCATGACTCGTTATCGAATGCCCTGCGATAGTCGACCCAGGCAACTGACAAATTGCGATGGTACTGCCTCGAATTGCGCAATACGCAGCGATCGACAAACAGATCTTCCTTGCAACCTGACAGTCCCCGGTTCACTCCTCACTGTTCATGTATCTGCTGCCACACTGGTTGTATATCATGGAGGATACGCTCATTCAGGATACCGGTGAAGAGCTAATGAAGTGTATTCAAACACGTGATCAGCCGATAGTTCGCCGGATTGGACAAGTCTCCCTTCTTAGGGAGCAACACAGTCCTCCCCTCTACCAACCACTCAGGAATAAGCTCACTACCATCGAGAAATGCCGTGAATATCCGGGCCAGATGGTCATGAACAGAGGTAAACCTCTTTCACCAAAAGGCGTTAATGCCATCAGGACCCGCAGCGGCGTGGTTCTTCATAACTCGTAAAGTAGATCGAACCTCTTCCTGAGTGATTCCCGAGAATTCCGCGGGCTGCCGACGAAGTACACAACAAAACGCGCGAAACTCCTTGAGGGCTGGAGTCTCCACCATGAGATTGGGGGCCTGACCGTAGAGACCCCCCCAGAACTCTTCAACCCGCTCGACTGAAGGCATCTTATCCGGTGCAGGCGCGGGTGGATCGAACCAGCGATTGGGGTCGGAGTGGGAGACAGAATTGTCGACCACCCGTCGCAACCGCTTCTCTAGAGACCGTTTCGTAGTCCCCAGAACGCGTACCTTCTCAACAAATCTCTCCTTAATCATGAGGAAGACTTGTTTATTCAGTGTGTGATGGTGGTATCGCAAATTCGCAGATATTCTGCGAATTCCCGCCGTGAAAGCCCTACCACTGTTGACAAAGTCCATCACACACTGAATGCGAGACGCTTGCTTCTTTGCCTCTTCGATCTTACCTTGGATCTGTGCGATGCGTCTCCTCATTATCTCCTCAAATGACCCCACTCTTGGGGTTCGAGGCTTCAGACGGAGAGCCGCATCATACACAGCCCAGTTCAGGTCGAGCAAATTGATGTCCGGTGAGAGCTGTTATGGCTGGAGACGAAACTTCCCCGTGACTCTTTCCCGCCTTGTTCCTATCCCTCTCGGAGCCCTCTCAGGCTCCTCATCTCCCTGTTGGGTCGGCTGCTCCGGCTGTGTACCATTCTCTTCCTGAAGAGGAGGAAGGTCCATCAACCCCCGCGGAACGAGCAGTAACTCATATCCTTGCTGACGCAAGCGGCTGACTTGATCTCTCAGATGTTGACTTGAGAAATGCGAGAACTCAGGGTGCATACGGCACCACAAGTCCCTCATTCTCGCCATGTAGCCTACCTGCGCCGGCTCGCTATCCTGCCAACATTGCATGAGGTCCTCCTTGAGTTCTTCCGTCCACCTAATCCTTTGTACAGCCGGGTTGTTACCATTGGATCCAGATCGTTCACCCCTCCTAACTGATCCGCGGTCCCCGTCCGAGAGGGACCGATTGTGGGAGGCTCTGCCGCGGCTCGATGACGAAACCGGGTATAGGTACCGCCGGGTGGTTAGCCCGACACCACCATGGCTATTGAGGACATGCCGGGCGATGGGTTCGCCACACTCCCTAAGCCTTATTATTATTATTATTATTATTATTATTATTATTATTATTATTATTATTATTATTATTATTATTATTATTATTATTGTGGTGGTTGTAGGATGGTGGAATACGGAGTGTTGCTCAATTTCCACGAATGGGAGTGAGATGCACGAATGCTTGGTACCCATGGGCCCTCATTGTATTATACTCCTGAGCTATCCACTCGATAATTCTCATTTCCGTACGCAGCGATTCGGGGGTTTCGGTGGCGTCATCTGACAAATTCCAGTGTAACTGAGGGAAACAGTATGGCGACAGCTGATCGCCTCATTTACTTACAAGTCTTTTATGGGAATTCGCGGCGTCTAATTGCTTCGGAACAACTCGCGGAAAATAGTAAAAAATAATTCACGGGCTGCTAATTGGGTCTCGGGAGTGTGCAGTGTCTGTGAAAATTGGAATTTGTGTTTTTATTTTTGATAATTACCCTCGCCATATTGACAGGGTGTCACACTATTGTGACTTGGCTAGGGGGGGATGGTGGTGTTTTTTTTGGGTTATTTTCTAAGTAATATTAAAAATATATGAACTCATTTCCCCCCCTCCAGATCCAACATTGCATCTAAAATGCTTTTTTTCGACAATTTTCTGGGGAATTTTCTAGGGACATTTCGGGCAAAAATCTCTCCAACCGGGCCTTAATCATAATACATACATCCAACATTGATAAAACTAGTCCTGAGTCATCAAGTTCCCGCTGAGATTCGAACTAGAGTTATGTCAGTATCTTTAGCAGCATCTATTTGATCAGACTTTCCAAGGAATACCCAAAATCTTGTCCATGCCTCACTACCCGGCTTCGACACGTCAAAGTTGGACCACTTTTAGAACCAGTTGTTAGGATTGTAAATTCTTGCCTCGATAGTTTTTTTCATACTTGATAAGTTGTAAGTGGAACATGATTCCACGGCTGAACAGTTAACAGTCATTCGTAAAGCTATAAACTGTATGATCTGCAGGTAAAAATCCATTCTGGTGCGAATCTTCAGGAGAAATTGACCTTCGGACCACCTCCCGCCAAGAGCATGCGGACTGAGTATGGAGCACTTGAGTGTACTATTGAAGTTGTGCCAGATTTGGATGAGGCTATTAATCATATTCATAAGTATGGAAGCTCCCATACAGACGTTATTGTAACGGAGGATTCACATGCGGCAGAACACTTCCAGAGAGAGGTCGATAGTGCCTGTGTTTTCCATAATGCGAGTTCCAGATTTGCCGATGGATATCGATTCGGACTCGGTGCTGAGGTAATGTTGAAGATGATTAGAAATTGGAAATGTAAGGAAAGTCGTGAGAATAAGATAACCCTTAATTTGACAATAATCCGCATGGCGGAAAATGAAGGTTGTGTATGTATGATTATGAGAGTCCTAGTTAATCATTTCGAAATATGAATACTTATTCTTTAGTCGAAAATAAGTATTGTGTAATTACAGGTAACAGCATGAAACCGAGTTCGCGAAATATTAATCCGGCTGTGTACCCCCAAAATTTTAATTCTGTTGAATGTTTTTATATGTTTTCTCTCATATCAATCGATCGTGAGGTATGCTATGAGCGAGGGGACAATCACTCTGGAAAACAGTCTACACTAGGTTTTAAAATTTCAACGATTTCTGACGTCTATTTAGAACTTCAAGGGATTTCAAGGAAATTCAAAGGATCTCCAGGGACTTCAAGGGAATTCATAACATTTCATAAGATTTCAAAAACTTCTAAAAAAATTTTATAAATTTTCAAATTACGATTCGAACATTTGTATTAGTTATGCGCTTGTAAACTATTCATTTGATTCATGTGGTATTCGAGAAGAGGAGTCAGTGCAGCATGTCACTTGTAGTCGAGTCATTCCCAGGCAATCCTCATTAGGTTGCAATTCTGAGGATTATTCTGCTCTAGAAGATGATCATGTTAGTGATGACCTAGAGTGAACTCGCTGAACAATTTTCAACATTGTAAATTTAATCGGAATTCTTCCCTCTAGAAAATGAGAAATTTAGGAAAAATAAATAATAATCGGAGGAGTTCACCCTAGGTTATGTGGAACTTAGTCATCTTCAAGAGCAGCATAATTCTCATAATCGAATGCTAATCAGGAGCATACGGGAATGATTCAATTGAAGAAATACGATTGTGAAAAAAAATATGTTTCCCTCAAACTTGTAAATGAACATGTGGCAAAAATATTTTTTCCTCTCAGTCTAGACTCTGTGTTTTCTCTCTTTGTCCAATAGTCCCTAGCAGAGTTGGGTCATTCAGTGAAAATCGGGGTTTTCTACGGTACATAGTAGAATACTGGTAATTTACCTCAACATGGTGAAAACGGTAAATAACTGGTAGAGAACCCCTTATCTGTCTATGAGTGTAGTAATTCTCGTGACTGAATTCCACGACGGTTATACATTGCAAGCGTCAAACATCATGAGGGTCATACCTCGAAAATATCATCACGAGAATCGTATATCGACAGGGTCATACCTCACGAGGGTCAAATCTCGCACGGCTCATATCTTGAAAAGGTCCTGCCTCGTGAGGGCCAAATGGTGCACCGATTATACCTCACAAGGGGCCAACGTTGCAAGGTTCAGACATCCCAAGAGTGATACCTCGCGAGGATCATGTATCCCGTTAAACCCTTGACGATTTTCGTGTTTACTCTTTTTGTTTGACCCTCAGAATCGTTGGATCGTCATGATTGTTCTGACTGCCACACTGTTGACTCTCATAATCATTGGAACCGTATGATAGTCCTTTCTACTCCCGTGTTGCCGCTTGTTGTCATTTGACCTTTAAGATTCCCCTGCCTAGCTCTATCGTTTGACCGTTGCGACCTTCAACCCTCGCAAGGGATGACCTTTGTGATGTTTGATTTTCGCGAAGTATGAACATTGCGATATTTGACCCTTGCAATACTTGCACATAACAGGGGAGCTCGTCCACGCTGCCAACTGGGCTAATCTCGCTTCAGAATAACTGTGCTGTTCTCAATCACGCGCAAAAGCGGTCAACAAGGTCTAAAGCCTCCTTAGTAAATTGATTGTTTTTTACATGTAAAAAAATTGGTAAAATACCGGTGGTATTTTATTTGCCCAACCCTGTCTATGTCTCTCTATGGTACCAATTCGAGAATACCGACTACCTATCCCATCCAATGGAATTTGAGATCATCCGAATTTAGCAAGAAACTACTCACAGAATTGGAGATATTAAAATTTTGACAATCCGGTTTTGGTGAAAAAAAGCTCGTCATTAATACGAAAATAAATCGTATATGTTTCGGAATTTATATAATGACAAAGATAATTAATAAGGTCACGTTCAATCTGTGGAAAACGATTTCATTTAACCTCATTTAGTACTTGAAAAAGAACAAATTCAAGTGTTAGGTTTGCATTTTTTGAGTATTCCATGGTAAATAAGGAAAAACAACTGGCTACCTTCATTGTCATTCATTTTCACCTGATTATGAATGATAAATTCTCAATTTACTTATCAATCTGCTGAAATATCAAGCTGAAGGTCAGAACGAGCTGGCGATCAGCTGTCGATCACACCATGAACGGTGACGCTATCTGCAAGAATTGTCTATCTCCCGGCGCGATGACAAAATAAATGACCGCCGACTCGTTCTGACTTTCATATTTCATGAATTCTCATCAGATCATAACGAAAGTATAATTAAAAAATAGAATAATAATATAGAATTGTCACTTGACTTCGTTTTCCACGATTTATCGAGATATGCGGCAGCGTATCGCCCAAGAAAAAGTTTTGACTCTGTGCAAAACTGGCCGAACGCTGCCGTGTATCTATATACGAAGCAACTACCCCCTCCACTACCTCCGATACATATCCATTGAACAAAATACAAATGTAACAAGGTACATGAAAAATAATCTTAGTTACATGATATAAATCGACCACCATCTTCTCATTGATGTAACTATTTTTTTTATTCCAATCAATATTTAAAAAATTACGCACATAGCAACGGGATCACATGCACATTGTCGTATTTCACATTATCTCCTATCATTTTTTTTATTACGGAGTTGGCAGCACTGCAATACAGCCACAGACACCAAGGAGGGAGCCCGGGAATTTACAAATTGAGTTTGGTGCATGGACGATAAATTTCACAGGTATTTTTCAATTGAGTTCCGTGCTTAAATAAATTCCGGAAGAAGCAAATTGAGTCGGAAAATCTGGAATCAGTAATTGAAAGTCGGTGGAAATGATGACTGTGAAGTACAATTATTTGTTTCGCTTCGATTGTTAATTGAAAAGATGATCTATCGTGTGAAAAATGAACGAGCCGAATTGAATTGGAAATAACAAAATTTATAGGATATCAAAACGATTCCTTGCTTCTTTTGAAAAAAGTTATGAAATCTCTCTTAAAAAAACAAAAACAAATGTTTTTATACAAAAACAGCGCCAAGAAAAAGTTTATGTTGGTTCTTACCGGGAAGTAGAAATTTTTGAAAAATACAAAGAAATGAAAAAGAGAGCCAAGTCAGCAATTTCAAATAGACAAATATAGTGCACAATCAGATTTCTAGAAGAAAAATAATTTCAAATCGAATAAGGATTTTAAAAAAATTCTTCATGAAATAAAAAATTACTCGAAGCAGGACCAACGTTCTTGGCGCGGAGTTTTTCAACTCACTGTTTAGTATCAAGCTAATCCATCATCTTTTGATCCGCGCCAAGGACGTTGGTCCTCCTTCTACTAATTTTTCATTTCATGAAGAATTTTTTTAAAATCCTTCTTGATTTGAAACTATTTTTCGTCTAGAAATCTGATTGTCCACTATATTCGTTCATTCGACATTGCTGACTTGGCTCTCTTTTTCATTTCTCTGTATTTTTCAAAAATTTCTACTTCCCAGTAAGAACCAACCCAAACTTTTTCTTGGCACTGTTTTTGTACAAAAAATACATCCTTTTGTGTGTGGAATCAATAACAACAAGTGCAGGTATTCATCCACCATTATCCACCATATCTAGATGATGGGAAATGGTTACAGTACTTTTTATGACGGACAAAAATATCACGCCAAAAAAATCACGTCAAAAATGTTACAAACAAAAATATCACAAACAAAAATATCACAAGCAAAAATATCACCGATAAGAATATCACAGCTGAAACATTACAAACAACAATATCACAAACGAATAGAACTCAGAAGAATGAAGGTCAGAAAGGAAGAAAGGCAGTCAGAAGATGTCAAAAGGGTCAGAAGGGTTTTGAAATTAGAAAGAGGAATCCTGAAAAATCGTTAACTGAAAAGTACTCTATTTATGACAAAATTATTTCTTCATGAATGGACCACTGCTCTGAACACGTTACAATTTTAGATTAAATGCAACACCTTTCAAGAAGACGATGATATCGTCAGCATTATACGACTCCACTAGAGCTTCCAGAACGCTATCAATTACCACATACTTTCTTCGACGAGGTTCTGCAACAACGCGGTGAGCCAGTACATTGGACATCACGACCTCAGTGAGACCTTGTTCGATCTTCATGGAATTGATGAAGCGACCAAGAGTAGCATGATTCACTCGAACACGTTTATTGAAACCCTGGTACTAGCCTTCGAGTGCATTGTTGGTTCGTGGCTGCCCTTCCACTGTTGCTGCGTGACAATTCCAAAAATCAATGGAGAAGCGTGGACTTCTGCGTCTGTTATCAACCTTACGACCAATCCAGGTATCCTGGAAGTACTCCAAAAATCCCGCCAATCGCTCAGCATTCCTCGTATAAAATGGCGTTGCAATTAGTTGTTCGAATGCAGAAATTACATCATGAGGGGGAACGAATGCCAGGGACATGAGCATCCTCACATTAATTGCAACGATTGAGTTTTCACGATACCATGTTTGCAATCTATGTGACTGGACATTGCGCCAGAGACACTGGCCAAAATGAAATAAACAACCAGAAATAATAGTCTCGGGAAAGTAGCGAGTGAATGCCTGTATGAAGGCCATCTCAAAATCAACAACCATACGTTCTGGCTGAAACTCACCGACCTGCTCCTTAATCTACTTGAGAGTAAGTCGATAGGTACGTTTTGTTTTATTTGGTGCCAAAACATATACAAGGGGGATGGCCTTTCTTTCCCGAATCCCATGAATCGTGTAAAGTTGAGAAAAAATGGAAGGCACAGTTTCAAATGTTCCATCTCCAAACCCCTGTGTACAGGTGCAAAGAAATTCTAAATTTTGCGCAGTAGAGAATATCAAAAAACGATCGGCACCACCATTATCGTGCATCAAAAATGGTTCACCTCGAGAAGTCGTCTTGAAGAAATGAGGGATGACTAATTCCTCACGTGTAGGTGGAGTTGGTAATTGTGGGTTGACAGCAGCACGAACACGTCGAACTGTTCTCGCCAAATTAAAATGGGTAGGCGATTCTACGGCAGCATTTTCGAGCATTCGGCCCACCACTGAACCAACGAGTAGACTGGGAACTTCATCTGATTTTTTTGCTTTCTTCTTCAATTTATTGATGGCCTTCAGAGCTTCTACAACAGCAACATCAGGAGTATGTTGAGGATGTTCGAGCGCTTCGCCAACGATGACTCCTGTGACGAGTAAATGAATAAGCCCAACGATGAGAACGATGAGAAAAGAAGACATAATTGACAAAACCATACCTGTCCTTTTGTCGGAACTAGTGCGAATGAACACTGAACAATCAGCCTCCTTCCACTGTCGACAACGCCATACAATAGAATTAGCATTAGCTCGAAAACGTGTATAAAGATATCCTTGATGCAACAACATAGGCTTGCCTTGTTGATTAAGAACAAACTTGAGCCCCACGTCAACGGTCTTGATGGGAACCGACTGAATCCCAGAATGATACTGATTAAAATGATCAATTCCGAACGGAAGGCACCCAAGAGTAAACAATAACAACCCAACAATAAATATCTCGCTCACCAACTTGAGTTTTCATGGAAATAATAGGTATTTCCTGAGTTATCTGATTGATACGTGAGGAGAAAGACCCGTTGGAATTAGAATTCAATTTTTATACTACGAGGAGGCTTAAAGGATTATTTATGATCATTTGGACTGTGATATTTTTGTTTGTGATCCGTTGGCTGTGATCTTTTTGTTCGTGATATTTTTGATTATGATATTTTTGGGTCATGATACTTTGGTTTGTGATATTTTTGCCTTGATTATTTTGATTGTGATAAAAAGGCCGTGATCGATTGACCGGTCACCATGGGAAATAGCAGGGGAGGGGTAAAGAAGATGCTGGAACCTCCATCCGGGCCTTAACGTTTCCTTTCAAGGAAGCATGGCGTTCTAAACAGCATGACAGAATAGACCTGTCATTCTGGAAATCTAGGGGAAATATTTATTCCGTTCATCAAACTGAAAAATGTCTAGAGAAATTATGGAGAACTCTAATAAATATTGATATTTAAAGTGTCATACATTTTGAGCCCTCAAATAGTATATTGTGCATCAAGGGCTATTTTTTAACACGCCTGCAAAGGAAAGTTCGTATTTTGCTCTTTGATGAGCGGGAGGAAAGTCCCGCGGGAGGGAGCAAAGTACGAACTTTCCGTACAGGTGTGTGAAAAAATGATGACTCGTATGTTAATTCGGTTGAAGTTTCCGAAACACCTAGGGAAATTAACATGGAAAAAAAGTGTCCGAAGATCTAGTAACTCTCAGGATGAAAAGATCGATTACCGAGAGTTTCTTCAAATAATATTTTCTTGATTTTTTAAACTTTCAATGAAAATGAATGAAAAATATTAGAGAATCTCGAAGGAGGATTTTTTTAGGGGATCTCGAAAGGGGATATATCGGTCGTTGAAAGTATCGGCTAAAAAATATCGATATATCAAGATGGAATATCGGACCTGTCGATATATCACCGCGTATCGTGCGTCCCTATATGTATGTGAGCTTTTATTTTAAATTCAGTTTTTTGACAATCAGTAAAAAAAATAATCATTGACATGTTTTCAATCATGGCTTAAAATATTCGTTTAGATGTTATCTCGGTCGAGTTCGAAGACAGTGGCGACCGTATCATTTGCTGTGAAATTATAGACTTAAAAAACATTCTATCGGGGTTTAATCATGGTTTAATCGGGATTGAGTCGGAGTTTAGCCAGGGTTTAGGCGGGGTTCAGTCGGAGTTTCGTAAAGGTTTATTCGAGATTCAGTCGAAGTTTAGTCAGGGGTTAATCGGGGTTTGGTCGGGCTTTAGTATAGGTTTAATCGGGGTTTAGTCGAAGGTTAATCAGGGCTTAACCAATGTTACGCCAAAGATTAATCAATATTTAATGAAAGTTTAAAAAAGTTCAGTTTTAATTTGTTCGGCCTTTGTTAGATAATTAACCAGGGCATATGGACCTCATGTTAGACATTTGGGATATTTAGGGATTATATCAATGTTTCATGGGTGGTATATCTTCTTCTCCATTTTACCATCCCGAAGCAAGCTGCTAATTCATTAACAAAATAGTTACACTGGTCTGAAGTCCAGTTTAGAGGAAATTATTCAGGATAAAAATAAAATTTAAACAATTTACTCACGTCCGGGGATATAACACACTCATTTTGTTTTCGCACCATCTGTCCAATTTAAAATAAAAGATTGGGTAGTGGTCCAGGCGTCGCCAGACTTAGTTCCAAAAAGCTCTGGATAAATAAATTGTCCAGAAATATATCCATACGTTTTCATGTACCTGGATGACATAATAATGTCTCCAGGACATTTTCGGAACACCTTACGTGGTTGGGAAAAGTTCTCGATAAGTCGAGATGTCACGGTCTCACACCATAGCGAGAAAAAAGACTGTCCTGTCGTTTCGAGGTAAAATACCTGGGTTTCGTCGTGAGCAGCCAAGGACTGCAAGTCGGTCCCGAGAAGACATCGGCAGTCGTTGGTTTGCCCGTGCCAAAGAATCTGAATCAGATTCGCCGTTTCGTGGGAATGGCAGCTTGGTATGGACGATTCATATCGGAGTTTGCAACCATATCTTAGCCGCTGACATGCCTAACACAAGCGAATCGGCCGTGGAGCTGGAGGGAGATTTTGAAGTTGAAGAAACACCAATCGAAGCCTGGGTCAAGTGCATGGAGTGCCATGACACATTGAGACTGGCCTTTAGACATGTATTAGCCGAAACTAATGACCGACAGGTATAAGATTTTAACTCGCGCCATAGAAAAGGTAAATTCGAGGTTGACGAACAAGTCCTAGTTCGCAATCATGAGCTGTCACATCTTGGAAAGCATCGTTCAGCATCCTTGAACAAACCGTTCAATGTACCTTTCGTGGTGACCAAGAAACATTCCAGTAACTTCTACTAGGTGTCCGATATGGCGGTTCGTAATACCAATGACACCGCTATAGTGCACATGGAGCCCTACAGGGAAGCTTTGAAAGAGCCCTTGACTGAATAGACGGGAAGTAAAAAGTAGTTACTCCTGGAGATTTTGACATGAAGCATGTAGTTTTCAGGACGAAACCTCTCTTAAGGAGGGAGGTGGGTAACGAGATTTTCTTATTACGGGTTGCAATCCCGTCAAATAGATATTTGAACTCTTAGAATTATTGTAAAGAGTTTAAGAAGTAATAGAAATACTCCTGGTGGGCATTGCTCACTGTACCATGTCATGCTGATGATGAACTGGGCAATTCACTTGTCCAGCCATAACAGTCCTCTGAGTAGACGAGATTGCCTCAGAGGCCGGTTTCCGTCGAACCTTTTGTAAAGGTTTTGCTGGCGCCCAACCAAAGAGTGATAGAGAAGGCTAAACAAAGAATTTGGATTTTTTCTGGGTGAACAACCCGGGGAAATATATCCTTATAAAGTCCGGCGTCCAGAGATCTAGAATCTGATACATCGTTTTTCGTCCATCGTCAAGCTCGCTAGGATCACTACCATTTGTCAGCGTTTTGTTGCTCGACTCGGGAGAATCCCTGAATTTTTGTCCAAAACAGTGCTCAACCCTGGTAACATCGAACAAGTTCAACTCTTCTGGATAAAAGCCGATCAGCCGTACATCTCTCTATTAATAGCCCTTTCCAGAGGGCAGAAACTGAGACCATTGAATCCACTCACTTATTTGACAGCAATTTTGGTATTACCAGAAAGTCTGTCACCCTGGTGGATGACTCAAATTCGCTCAACTTGACTTCGAAAATGAGCATCACGACATTATATCTCGGGACTCTCAGTTGGCTCAGCTCATTATCAACGAAGCTCATCTCAAGACGGTATATATGTTACGTCAGAAGACATACCGCAGCTTTTGATTTAAAATAAATAATTAAAAAATGAATAAAAAAGTTATTAATAATTGAACTTGAAAATAATAAATAATGAGAGATTTTGAAAGAATTATACTTTGGAATCAACGCGAAACACGTCTCATTTTCAATCGATCTTACTCGAGGCAATATGAAAAACAATTCAATAAGAATAAAAAGGCAATGGTTGGTTTTTGTTAACATGAGTCAAAGGCACCTCCTTGAGTGATCAGAGCGCGATATGTAAGTTTTCTAGAAAATGAGATAATAGGGCATCTAGGGAGATAAAATTAATAGTGAAAAATGAAGAAAAATACATCCAATTCAGAAAAAATATCATGAAAGATTTGAAATTTAAAATAAGCCGAAAAATTTATTTATTGAAAGTTATGACGTGGAGGATTTTCCACGGTTTTAACATTGTGTTTGAACGACTGACGGAGTCGAACCCGTTCTCAACTCAAGACCATTAGAATATCTCTCACAAAACCCTGACGACGTTGCATGCTCGCATGCATGCCTGGTCTATAATTTATTCTTGATTGAATTGGCGTATTGTAACCAATGCCACGTAAAATGATTTATCGCCCTTCTCCCCATCCATCTTCATCTCGCCCATCTCCCAAGCATTCCACTAAAACTAGACCCGACCGCATAATATATTCAAATGCATACCTTCCGCCATGACATTTGTTAATGGATGCTTTTTTGAATAACGACTTTCATACTTTTTTAAAAATTTCCAGGTCGGAATTTCAACCGCCAGAATTCATGCAAGGGGTCCAGTTGGTGTCGACAGCCTTTTAACGACCAAATGGGTGCTTCACGGCAACGGGCACGCAGTCCAAGACTTTGCTGAGGGTGGACCATACACATACATACATCAATCCCTCCCCACCCATTGAAAGTATGTCGAACTTCACTTCGTTTGACTGTTACCATTTCAATTCCATTGTGAATAAAGTCAACGAATTTTATATAATCGTAAAATTTCAGCAATCAGTGCTAAAAAATATTTCAAGCATATCAAAAATTTTGCGAAGGTGAGACCGGCTTATTTTGTCCTACACCTACATTATTCTTGTAATCGAATAAAGAAATATTCCTACTTATTGATCCTTAAACTTGGAACCTGTCAACATTCCGAATATTCCGCACGGAAATATTCATAGGCGCAGATATATCTGATTAATATTTATGTTACATTTTTCTTTTGTACTTGAGATAGATCTTTCATGTATCCGATATGTATCTAAAATATTTTGATACAAAGTAAGTTTCATCAACATTGTGCTTTGTAATGTGTTATTTTGTTTTCGACTATTCAACGATAATAATTTAAGACGTCCAGGCGAGTAATAACACTAGTGAAGCAAGAGTAAAATTTTTAATTTTACGTTTCGATCTTTTGTTTATACTTTTTGTTTGATTAATATTGAGTTACTTCAGTATTGCTCATTGCATGGATCTCTAGCCTGGAGGGAGTCTACATGAAGCCGGAAAGGAGATTCAATCCTTGAGGAGAGAGTTTGAAGTTACGTATAAGTTGCGAGCCATGTTTCATTTCAATCGTTGGAATGGTACCCGCGGAATGGAGGGCATTCTGTGGGCAAGTGAATGACGCCGCTATTGGATGGAATTAGGTGTAAGAGATCACAGGGATATACCTACGGACCCTGAATGTAACTAGGGTCTCCACATTAAGTCCGGATTATTGTGACTCAGGTGACCATCTAATTTCTGAGGGTGAACGGTCAAACGGTCAGGAAACATTTATTGTTTAAGGAGAATTCTCAGATCATTTGTTATGAAGTAATCTGTAAGGAATTATGATTATTATCATTGTTCGTTAATGTTATAAGAGTGTGGATTGTACTCGTCAGTTCCGTCGGCTCTGGTTAGGTATGATTGCAACGATCAAACAGAGCTTGATATCATCGTGAATTGTTGAATCATACGGTGGATGTTGGTTAATCAGTATATATAACTACTCCAATGTAACTATAAATTCAATTAACCATTATATTCCACACATTTTGAAATATTATTCTGATAAATTGCCAGTGTCAGGCTCAAGTATTAGAGATTTTACGAATTGGAGCTTTAAAATCAATAGCGGTGCACACGGTGTTTTTTTCAGGGGGTTTTGGCTCGAATAAACATAGCCGTCATGATACCGGAAGACTTGTACACTCTTTGCCGAGAGGATGAATTAACAATTGAATTCCTGAGAGACAAAGGCGTAATTATGATTCAGACACGTTGTCCGGAATGTGACGAACTCATGTACACGCACTATGAGCTGAAACGATTTAGACGTCAGAGATCTAAGACTATTGTCGATTCACACCGTAAATGGAGGAAAATGAAATGTAGATTCTTATACATTAGGACGATACATGCACGCAGGAGTTAATCTCCGAAGCGAGCAGGACTTCTATAACAACAGTCCATGGGGTCATTCGCCGGATTAATGATTTATTGGATCAGTGGGTAGCCGACTGCATCACCGTGAAAATAGGGGGTAGAGGAGTAGCAGTCGAAACCGGTGAGCTCTATTGGGGGCAGGGGGGTCATAAGCTTAAACTTGGATGAAACGACTGGCAATCGAGAGGATTGATAGTTGCCGCGATACCCGGTCGTACGGCCAACGCACTTATCTCGAAAATAGATCAATACGTCAAGTATGGCCCCGGCATAAGCATAGAGTGTTGGTCTGAGTATGTTGATTTGGCGCTGCGTGGTTATGAATACGTTCGCGTCAACCACAGATTTGACCATATCAACAGGACCAACAGAGCAAATCTGCACGATGTCGCGTGTACCTGCCGTGAATACTGATTCATTAATGCCATAGAAACAATAGATGATTATATAAAATGTTTTTTTTTCAATCATTTTCTTCACTCCACCACTGAGAGGATGATATTCAATAATTCGATCATGTAAGATCAAGCAATAAGCTGCAGTAGTATTGGGGAATATCTGAGTCGATTCGAATTCAAGTCGAATATCCACAGGTCCAGTTTTCAGGAGCTCGTTCTGCTTGGAGCAATCGATGACGATGAGCGGTGCTGTCTTCAAGAATGCATCCCTGTTCAGCAAGGGCTCAGGCCCCTTACCGTAGTACGAATTCTGGAAGTCGGTATACATGTTGTAGAGTTGAGAGTACTGATTGTGTGTAATATCAAGATTGAGGTTTCCATAGGGGTAACTCTGAGAATTCAGGAAGAGTTTCAAATCTCGAATATTACAATGGTCGAATTCACTGGCATTGTTGGTTATTTGATTTCTTCTAGAGCTCTGGAATCGAACAATAACGAAGCGTGGTTTTTCCAATTGTGTTGAACATTTCACTACCCAAACATGTTTGGAGGTTCTCGGTAGCATAGGATACTCGTACAACTCCCAAGCTCGAAAGCTAATAGGTGTAGCTATATCTTTAGCAATATAATTCAACAGTTGAACTTTACGAGAATCTGCAACTTTGATGTAGGGTATCATCCATTCGAGCTTGGTGAGTGAAATTTTGAAGTCATTTGCGTGTGCCCCTTGAGCAGGTTGGGCTTGTAAAATAGCATTGTTGTCATTGCGTGAACGAGTGAGAATCAACTCATGCTTCGCGTTGATGATAATCCGTTGGTAATCTTCAGCAAATTCCAGTATCATACTCAGAGGAATAGAGAGATCAAAATATCCTGCATCGTCAGTTATTTTCCCATTTTCTTGTAAAATCCAACCAGCATTCTCCAATAAAAATGTTTGACTCGGATTCTGGGAAATGTAGTTTTTCATTCGAGTACTCACACCAACGTTTTACAGCGATCGATTTCCACAGCATTCAGTTCATAGCGGATTTCCTCAAATAAGTGACAAATGGCATTGTTGACAAAGTTTGTTGCTGCAGCAGCAGTGATGCCATCAGCCTTCGTGAGACGACCACAGATGTAGGGTGAACTCTTGCATGGCAAAACGTATAAATTTTGATGCTGCACAGCTATTCAAATTTCATCATTATTGTTTAAACTTGATGATGCAAATGGCTGATGAGCATGAATCTCATAATGAGCTATGGACTCATAAAAAATGATTGGTTTTTGAATTTTTAGAATTTCTTTCATGGTAAACAGCAGCAAGCGACGACGATACAGCAAAACTTTACTTTCTTGCTTTTCCGCAAAGTTTCAGACCCAGACTCTTCAGATATTTGACGTTCTGAGATGTGAGCCCCTTGAGGGCTGCTCGTTGACTGTGGAACTTTCGGCATGATGTATGGCTTTTATAGCTGCCACCAACCTTACTCTGGAAGATAATGCTCATCCTCCAATTCGCTCTAATATGGAGTCTTTTTGTTATAATTTCTCCACGAAAATTCACTAAACGTCATTCTTGATCAACAATTTTCACTTGCAATTGATCTATTGACTGTACGACGATTGGCAGATAAATGACTTGAGCTAGCACTTCGATGATCTTATATCTTGCCGGGACACTTGGGAAGAATTCATGTATAGTATGTGCTCGTTCGTTGTTGATGTATGCTCCAGCAGTGATGTTACATTCAACACGGATAGAATTTATATGAATGATTGATGCTGGCGTGTCGGACTGGTAAGAACCTGAACTGTGGAGAACATCCGGTTTGAACCCCAATAATCGACCAATGGAATCCGATGGAATGAAGTTGATGAAAATGTCACGTGGTATTTTTATAACCGTTTTAAGAGTGATTTCATCAGCCTTGAGGCTGAATTGTTGTACACCTTCATTTTCAAGTTGTTTTTTCAACTGCTTCTCAATATCCTCAATTTCATAGGTCCCAGGCTGTAATGTGAGAACAGTTTCAGTGTCTTTCACGAAATAGAATTTATTATGTCCCTCATCACTATTAGGAATTGAAATGAATGTTAAGAATGACACAAGCCTTACACTGTAGGTTTTCAAAGGTGATAACTCAATCAGTGGAAAATAATATGCCTGCAGTACAGAAGATGTAGCCGAGAATGTTAACGTGAAAGAGTCACCATGATGGTTAGCATTGAACTGATCTGTCAACGGCGTGGATCGCGGCTTTTATAACAATTGATCAGACAGGAATTTGAGGCATGAATGTCCACAAATAATTGTATCATAGTCTTGTTAATTTTCGTTATTGTATTTCACTATACTACCAGCACCGAGATAATTTACTAAATCTTAAGGTGGACGCAAGTTGCCAAAGCTATCGAAATAAATGACATCTTTATTTCGCTTTTTATAAGCAACCCAATGGGTGCCACTGGCATCAAGACTACAGCGGATTCATGTTTTCGAGGACCATTATTCGGCATACCATTTCTCATAGACACACCTCGAAAATGGGAAATTTTCATTGCTTTAGCAAATTTTAGTATGTCATTATCGGTGAGCGCTAGGTATGGTAGTCTTACACGTTTTTTGGACTCAAATAAAATCCCAAACCTTGCTTATAAGGCTTCAAATACAAGCCCTTGCCCAGAGCAATATCTTCCATACTCCGATTGTGACGTTTACTCTCCTCAAGGGCTTCCCAAGCAGCCTTAGCGTCATTGACAGCTTTTGCAATGCCCGCAGCACCACCTGCTAAAGCACCTGAGGCACTAAGTGCAGCGCAGAGAGGGATGAGAAAAGCGGGCGAAATTCCACTGGTTTTTTTGGAATAGGTAGAATGCGAGGCAAGGCTCGAATTTCCTTCCTTCCTCCAGCATTTTTCACAGCTTCACGTGCCCCTTTCAATGCTGTTTTCATAGGATTCACTCCTGGAAGCATCGAAGCTTTAGAAGCATCAATAATCTGACGTAATCGGATCTTCTTCTTCTTTTTTCTTCGCTTGCTACCCTCTCCGATTTTTCCCTTCGAAACTTGGCCAGTTCGTTTTTCAGCTTATGTCCTTGCCCAGTTTTCTTTCTCCTCCTCGTATCAGTTTTCCTCTTCTTACGCACACCCATCCCGAGTTTCTTCTTAGCCTTCATGGTGTTCGTCACTCCCCAAGCTACAGCCTTTTCAGCAAGACCAGCGTCCTTCGCCAATACACGACTCCAAGCTCGTTGTTCTAAAATACTATCAGCGTTATGTCTAGCAGACAAGTTTTCTCCGTTCTGAGAATAGGCAATATCGTGTTCTTTACACGCTTCGTCAAGAGGGTTTATCCCACGATCACCACGAGCCAATCGTTTAGCTAATTTGGTTCCTGGTCCAGAATATTTATAACCTGGCACATGTAATTCCACAGGCAAGTTATGAATCACTCTATTCACAAAACCTTCACCGCTGCGCGCTCTCTTACGTTTGTACGCGACCATGGTCTGTCAACGACTGACTGGAACCATATAAATACAGCGTATTTATAGCTGATGCGGCAGTCGTCAAGATGAAGTTCAAGAGGCAAAATGTGAAACTCCCTGTTATCAATTTCGATCAAATTGTTCAACGAAAAAAGGGTGGGGGAATAAACCGACATGGTTCTCTTTTACCGAATAGCATGCGTGCAGTGATTGGTGGACCTTTAAACTATGGTAAAACAAATGTCTTGTTTGCACTGATCACTCATCCAAATGAATTGAGATTTGAGAATGTTTACATGTATTCAAAGTCTCTGATTCAACCGAAATATCAGTTCTTGAAGCAGTTGTTAGAATCTACAAAAGTTATTCAATATTTTCCATTCAACGATCACGAGGAGGTGATCAAACCTGAAGATACTCGCCCCAACTCCATCACAATCTTCGATGATGTTGCTTGTGAGAAACAAGACAATATGAGAGCATTTTTTTGTGTGGGACGACACCATAACGTAGACTCGTTCTATCTCTGTCAGACTTATGCTCGTATCCCGAAGCATTTAGTGCATAATAATACGATTTTTCTCATACTTTTTCGTCAAGATGAGATGAACTTGAAACATATTTATGATGATCATGTCAATACTGATATGTCATATACACAATTCAAAGATTTGTGCTCAACTTGTTGGAATCTGGACAGGTATGGATTTATGGTAATTGATAAAGATAGTGAATTAAATGATGGACGTTATCGAAGAGGTTTCGATTGCTTTATCACCATAAATAAACAATGATCTTCGAGATTGAAGACAGTATTCAACTGAACGTGCAGCAATCAACATGCTGCGCAAGGTGTTGGAAAAGTAATCCAATGTTTTGCATCACATTGCTTTAGCAAGTGATGCAATCCGACGTAAACGTAGAACATTGAAATTAGGTTAAGATGCTGCAGAACCAATGATTACACCGCTTGAAAAATTAGTTGAAGCACAATCGAAAAAATCAGGACAAAAGAAAAGAAAATTGTCAGAACAAGGGATATCAATGGTTCCATGGATGGACATTGGAGATAGTGATGAAGAGAATGATGTGTTCAAAACAGCAGACGAGGATCATAAACAAAAAATCTTCTCGAGTACTCCGCGACGTATAGAATCATCATCATCATCATCATCATCACAACCTTCAATGAGTCTGAATGATACTCCATTACTCAAAAACAATTCTTCAAGACCGTTGGAGTCGATTGATGAATCATCGACTGAAAACCTCAATATGTTAAATGCAGAGACCGGCACAGTCATATCTCGATAGATTTGGAACAGCAAAAAAGAAATAATTGGACACTGAATTTGGCATTAGAAATTTGAAACAACAAGGGGACAAAATATCCAAATCAGATGAATAGAGACAAAAGCAGATCACAATAATATCTGATTTAATTCTAATGATAAAGAGAAATCTGATGGATTCAAAAAAGGCTGAAATAGAGGAGGAGCTCCACAAACCAGCTAGGAGGAATTACAGTCGACGTCGTGTCGATATTAGAGGTTTGAATGAAACCTGGCAAGCTGATCTCATGGAGATGGGGACTTATGCAAATGTCAATAAGGGTTATAGGTACCTCCTTACAGTTATTGACATTTTCTCCAAGTATGCATTGCCCATCCCAACCAAAACTAAAAATGATGTAGCTGTGACAAGTGCTATGAATCTCATCGTGAAGGAGGGACGTATTCCTAGAAGTTAACTGTAGATCAGGAGAATGGGTTCTATAACAAGAATTTCCAAGCTCTCATGAAAAAACATCATATAGAAATGCACTCCACGTTCAGCAATCTCAAGGCTTCAATATGTGAACGTTTCAATCGTACTCTCAAGAATAAAATGTGGAAACAGTTTTCTCTGAAGGGGACATTCAAGTGGATCGACACCGTGGATGATTTAGTTAGAGAATATAATAATACTAAACATAGCACCATCAAGATGAAAGCGAAAGATGTTACTCGGAATAACGAGCGACAGTTGCTGAGAAGTGTATATCGAAAACTTCCAATGAATGAGAAGAATAAGAGCAAATTTAAAGTTGGTGACAGAGTTCGTATCACCAAATATAAAACAATCTTCGAAAAAGGATACACCCCCAACTGGACCACGGAGATCTCACAATCAACAAAGTGCAACCAACCAATCCTGTGACATACAAACTCATGGATGTTGAGAATCAACCAATCGAAGGCGGCTTCTACCAGGAAGAACTTCAACCAGTTAAATATCCTGATTTTTATCTTGTGGAAAAAGTGTTGAAGACAAAAGGCAATAAGAAATATGTAAAATGGTTGGGTTTTAATAATACACATAACAGTTGGATAAATAACGAAAATATGTAATTTTTCTATGGAATGAAGATTAAACAATAAAATATAATTTTTTCATCAATATACTTTATTTGTTCTCAAAATATCCATATGGAAGAGTATCCGTCGTATTAGGCAGAATAACTCTCTTATCATCTCCACAACTCAGAGCTAATTTTCTGTTTGACTGTGTACACTTCATGTTTCTTACTTTGAATCAAATATTGAGATCTTACAACATTTTTATTTTGGAGAAGACAGTTCTTATAGTCATTGAATGTAATTGTTTTATCGTTGACCTTTTCACTCCTTTCGCCTTCTTTTTCTCTCTCTCATCACCTAAGACCTTGAAAGTATAAAGTTTGGCTCGCAATCCCACAAACTCTGTCATGATACTACCGTTACACTCGTCTTACATTAAGCCTAATACTTTTTTGTTCTTTCTAGGCATCCCATACATGTTTTCTTCTGGATAATCGGAAGTATCAAACTAAACAATATCTGTCTTCATACATTCATAAATGTCATCAACTTTGAAATGATACAATAAACTGTCTGTGTCCATGTACATTAATTTTGCTTGATCCTTAAATTTTTGTTTGATGTAATTATAATGGAAATCATAAATGAATATCTTTGATAAATCCAGAATAGCAAAACCAATGAATATTGGTTTATTGAATATGATCTTTGTACCATTGAGTTGGATAATAGCTATTTCATACTGATCATCAAAGATCAGACTGCTGTGGAAATTCGGTTGCGCGATACGAGCTCTTGCACCATATCTCCCAGACCATTCGGTGATGAATTTTACGTCTCGATGTTTCCGCATATTCTCTATTGTCTTTCCAAACACGGCATTATTCATGAGTTTGAAAAAATTCTTCTCAAACTCATTCGACGATTCTTTTCTCTTTTCTGTATTGAGATCGATATATGGTTTCAACCAAGCTGCTTGTTTGAATTCCAAGAGACGACGAATCTTGATTAACTTCATCCCCAGACTCAGACATTGTTGAAGATTTCTGTAGTGTATGACGTATTCATTTTTTGAGTGAAGTGTCATCATGAGCTTTGTACCTTTGCGGTTCGGTGGTACGAAATGCTCAGACCACAATGGTAAATCTTTATGAGTATCATGGAGCTCAATGGGATATTCCAAATCCACTTCTAAAATGTATCCAGCTAGAAATTCGATGTCTATACTGAAGATATCGAATCCCTCTGGATTAACCTATTCAAACGACTCGTAAGGTAAGTATTCACTTATTGCTGCACCATACAAATTGTTGACATCGTAGTACATCAGGTAAGACTCATCTTCATCATCATCGAAGTTATCCATGTAGCGATTATTAGCTTTTGCATAGCGGTTGGTACACTGAGCAACACCTCCTCGTATCCCCGTTTCTATGATGAGTAGCTTCTCTGCATCCGTGAAGAGTTCAATTTCAACACCAGTGTGCATCAACATAGCATCAAAAGCAAGTCCTGGTACAGTATAGTAATGCAAAGGATCAAGTTTATAAACAGTGAAACCAGTTCTCCGGAAGTTCTCAAAAATGTCTGCCAAGAGTAGAACATCAGTTTTCAGATACAAATCTGAATATTCACCCAAGGTTGAGATATGGAAGGTCTCCCACACATGACAGGCGTGAGCATAATCTGCCTCTGAAACTGCTTCTCCGGTCAATGTAGAATAAAAGTCATCTCTAGGGGGTAAACTAGGACTATCGAGCTTCATCCAACTATCCAAGTACTCATATGGGAACACACCTTTCCTAGCTAATAGTTCAAATCTTCCTCCAGCATCATCATTGCATTGAGCTCGTGTGATTCTCTTATCAGCATTAGTCAAGTATGATGCCAGTTTATCCAGACCGCTCGCCATGAATCTAAATGAGTCGATGAATCTCAGCTTCACGTTCGTCTTGGTACATGTTTCTTGAATGCAATATACTTCTCTTTGGTGAGCGGTAGTAACTATATTATGCCATGGAATTCCTTCGCTAGATCTTTTATTATGAAGTGAGCATCGTATCCAGAGAGCTTATGAAAAATCATTGGAATGTCATGAGAATTTTGGTAGTTCAAATTACAACCTTGATGAGCTGCACCACGATATTTTCCTGTGAAGTGACAGTGATCACGATGTTTTACATTCTCCAGAGTGAAAGACTTCTCACAAATATGACACTTCTCTGCATTGTTAAAGTCACGAAATTGTTCAATTGTTAGATTCTCCATTGGGACTACAGTTTTCAAGACTCCGTCAAACATTTTTGCTATTCCAGATAATTCATTTATAAACTAAGTCACACATTTAGGATCACGTTTCATCTCAAATCTGGATAGTTTATCATCATAGGAATACTGAAGATGAAAAGCTACACTATGAGGAGTATGCTTTTGACAGAGAGCTATATCATCCTCATCATTCGTGGGTTCAAGAAGACCTTTTAGATCAGCATAAATCACAAAATCCTTGAATCTATAATTCTTGAAGCTGAGAATTCTCTCTTCTTCTTCAGGAAATATTTGTTGCTTATCGCTTGTGTTTTTTGATTGTGTGGAGGCCCTTATATTTCTTTTCATGCGTGTTAGCCTTGAATCGATGAATCTAGGAGGATGGTTGAAAATATCAATGCTGTAAAGATGTGTCTCTACATTCCACGAATGACAAACGGGTGGCGCCAACTCATCCTGAAAAAAATTCCTATTTTACCATACGAGTAACTTTCGAAATGAAGAAAATCCTGAAGAATGAATAGGAATTTGAAAAGTCGACGATGAAAATAAAAATTCCACATAAGTCAATATGATTATTATTATTCAAAAAAAAAGATGTTATATAGAATTTTGGGAATGTATATGGGAAAACTGTTTACAATGAGGACTGTGAAATATAAGTGAATGAAAACGATGCAGCGTTAGTGAAACCATGGTTTTAGGGGTCTTGACTTGACTTTCCTTCGATTGCCCCATTTGGATCGAATGAAGACATCTTCACGAAAGGCTGATTGTTCTCATCTCATGTCAGTCCTTACTCGAGTCCGTGCAGCGAAAATTTCACGTTTTGGCAAAATGATGTCTCTGCACTCGAGTTTGACTTTGTTCATCCATCGTACTGCTGGGATTGGGCGGATTATTGGGTGACGGAACCATTTGCTATCATCAGCATCGATAGCTTCTAGGTTGATTGTCTGAACCTCATCATCGTCATTGTTAGCTGAAAAGTATAGGAAATCAGACTTGATCGATGGAAAATCACTGAGAAATTTTTAGAATTTTTGAGGGGAAAGATACCCATTGAATACTTACATTTAAGAGTGTTGACTTCAATATTGCTGACTCCAGCACCTCCATTACCGGTTGACTGGGTGGTGCGAACTACCTTGTTGTTAAGCTCCGCTAGAGCGCTGGTGTCAATGATCTCGATTTCATCATCTTCATTCTCAGCTGAAAAAATCAAAATGGTTTCAATTGAAGTATTGAAAAATTTAGATCACTGGAGAATCATTGAGGAATTTATCGAATTGCAAGAAAAAATCCATTAAAATCTTATATTCAAGGGTGATCACTTCGTATTCAGCGACTTCAGCGCCTTCATTAGCAGTTGATAGGTAGGCACCATCCACGTTTCCCTTTGCTACCGTCACAGTGCTAATGGAGATTATTTGAATCTCATCATCGTCCTTGAGAGCCGAAAAAACTGAGATAATTAGAATTTTCAACAATACAGAAAATGAATTATTGTTATTTCAAGAAAGAAATATATTTCACTCACCTTGAAGAATATCAATTTCTTCATTATTAACTGCTCCATCATCCCTCTTCAAAAATGTCACTAAATCAGAATGGTAATCCATAAAATTCATGACATTGGTGGTGCTGCTGGTATCATCAACGATCTTGATGAGCAAGCCATTCTCTCCCTCAACTATCACAAAATGAAAAAAATATGGAAAACCTTTCAAAAAATCCCGAAACTTCCTACTAATTTTGAAAAAATCATTATTTCAAATCTAACTTACACTAATTCATGATGTTGACGAAAAATTCATTCCCCTCACCAATCGAATGCAATCCACTGAACAATAAGAATCCTATGAATGAAAATACCGTAATGAATTTTCATAAAAATTAAACATAATAAACTATTCACAATAACTTTTATGTAATTACACTCACTTTTCAATGTTATTAATCCATCTCGAATGATAGCCACTCACAATTTTCAATTTACATGCACTTGATGTCAGATTTTCGGACTTCACACCTCACGATCTGTGCTCGACTGATCACCTTTATTCTAGATTCATTATGGAACTCAATGAAAAATCATGACATCACAGTTTTCTTTTTTTTTATGAATGGACTTTCTTTTTTCGCTCTCCACAAGTGACTCGCTCGGGCAAGTCATAAACTCTGCATGGGAACACGAGCGTTTACATCTCGAGATGATAACAGAATTCGGACCGCTGAAACATGACACTTGAAATAAACAAACAGCAATCTCCTTCCGCTGGATGATCTCTTTATTCCAGTTCCCATTCACAATCATAAAATGATGAAATATTAAAATAAAAAAAGGAAATTACAAAAATTGAAAATTGAATAATAATGAAAAATATACGACAATGTTTATCTGAGGTAGGAGTCATGTGAGGTAGTCTTCTTAGTTCAGGACTCTCAGGTGAGTCGGGAACAATTGCTTTTTTAGTTTCCATCACTATTGGCTCTGGATCTGGACTGTCAGGTAAGTCGAGAACAACAGCTTTCTCCAATTCCATCACTATTGGTTCCGGATCTGGACTGTCAGGGGATTCACGCAGGGGAGTGACGCAGGATTAGGACTTTGATGTGACTTATTCAGTTGAATTACTCCCACAGCCCTCAATTTCTTTGTCAGGCTAGGAACCCAACTGAGAGATGTTGCTGCTGATGTTTGAGGATCTCCAGTTTGAGTGGGGATCCTTGAGCGCTTTCTAGATTCAGCATCGACAAGGATCCTGGCCACCTCCATACCTTCTGGTGATAAGGGTCTTGGATGCGAGAATCCCTCACTTGACATAATGAAATCATCATGTATCTCACTCAACTCCATAACTTCACTCAACTAAACTGGGTGAATCACTCAAGTTCGTAAGAGTTTTTGCAAATGCTTCCGAGGTCTTGCAGAGCTAGCTTATATTGCCTCTCCCCTCACCTCCCCATCTGCGAATTTTGATGTGAGAGTGATTGGTTGAGACATTTCCCCTCCATTCACATTGTGGGAGCGTTCGAATAAAGAAAATGAAGGTTTAAAAAAACTTGTGGAGAAAAATTTAAATATCATCAAATTCAATACGTAGATTACTGTCATTCGTTTTTTTCATAATTTTTCTGAATAATATAGAGGGAAAAATGATTAAAACAATAGAGAAAATTTGATGACTCTCCCACTCCCTCAATTTTGTAACACGCATGCATCACTACGAGCGCGAGAGGTACTCTTAGACTCCCCGCTTCCCGCTCCCCCTCCGCCGCGACTCTGATCGTATTCAACCATACCCCTCCGGCCTCCGCGCTTCCCTTCTTCGCCACTCTGAGCTATGGTTATTCCACCATCGCCTTCCTCATAATGCTTCTTCCAAATAGTCATGCATTCTAGATTATTAAAATCACATGATTCTTTTCTTCGGAATTCTCTATGATTCTCCATATCACAGAAAATGAATTTTCAAGCAATCAGACTTTCCTAGAAACTTAAAAATCATGAACAGAAATTTTTTGATCTCTAAGAATGTTGATCAAAAATCAAATGAATCACCCCCTCCACTGCTACTCAGAGCGTATTCTATCACCACTCTAGCTAATGTGTAATCCACTATGTGTTTTCTATTCTACTCTCCTCAAAAATTTGATAATGATTATGAAATTATGAACAAACATTCTAGGTTGATCGTAATATTTCTTCTTCCTATTCTTGTATGAAATCACAAACAGCTAGATTTTTAGAACCGACAATTTTATGAAAATAATTTGGTGAAAAGTCGATAAAATGGGAGGAGAATTTTTCAACTCTCGAAGAACGCAGAAAAATCTAACCGTAGTTCTAGAATTTTTCCGTTGGAGTGATAAAACACGTATCGAGTTCGCTAGTTACTCGGAGACTATGTCTGGTTTGTGAAGCTACGATATCACACTACGAATTCAGTATCGATATTGTTTTGTCTGAGGAGACTGAGTATGGGAACATTCTTTTCTCACCAGCATTCAATTTCATTTCTCGGCCGTCGGATTATTGATAACGAGAATTAATGGAATCAAAATCCAACGGTTTTCGTTATTTCATCATCATATTTCTGACCGACATCACACGAAACTTCCAACGGAAAAAAAAGTTCTCAGGGTTTAAGAGGGGATGAACACCCCCAACGGTCAGTGCATCGAGTGCTATATGAGGGGGCGCGATTGTTGAATGATTCATTCATAAGCCTCACACGTTAGTGGTATAAGCGCATTATATTGCTGCAAAAATGAAGGTGTTTATCGATATCCAGGGTTTTAAAAGACCGGTCAATCAATTTGTGCTGAAGGAGCTGGGTATTTCAAGTCTTGAGTGTGGAGGAAATTATCCGGAAGTGGATGAATTTCTGGTATTTGAAGCACCATGCAAATGGGAGGATCTTCCAGCTGAGTGTCAAAAAATGAATACTTGGCCGACATGTAATTATCATGGATTACATTGGGAGAGTAAGGAGGCGCACAAGTACTCTTCGATTGATCGCATCTTCCGTGAAGCGCTGGGAGGAGTTAATCAGATTTTCGTCAAAGAATTGTAGAAGAAGAAATGGTTGGATCTACCCATTGGAGATCAGATGCCGATCGTGAATCTGGAAGATCTGG